GTATTAACAGACATAACCTCTTAATCAATGCACAGTGCTTTCAATAAATAATTTGAACACAGGCACTAGTAATTGCACGAAGAAGGGATTAATTTATAAGTTCGTAAATTTTTTTACCATTGTAAGAAGATTTACCTGTAACTTACTTGATAAGTACCAAAAGATTTATTTTAATAATTTACTTTAAACAACATTTATAATTGCAGGAGATTGTGTCGCATTTTATTAGAACCCTATTATTATAAATGTGATACAAATAATAGAGTATAATATATGGATTTATATTTTAGTTGAGACGCTTCATACATCCCGTACATCTCTTCGATGTTGCAGTATCTGATTTCTTTGTTAGTAGACTTGTTAGTAAACTTGTTTCTGTACTTGCAGGCTCGGTACTACTTGCTTTGTCGTCTGTAGTCTGTTCAACGGAACTCTGAGATGTCACTGTGGTCTCATCAGTTGGAATTTCTTCCCTAATTTTCTCAGATGTGGTCGTTGATTCAAAATTCATGGAAATAGCAGGCAGACTCGATGATGTTTCTTCGATTCCATTTGTTGATTCTTGATTGAGTCTCGATTCTATTATACTGGATTTTATCGAGCTAGATTCAGAGTTGGTAGCATTTAGTTGCGAGCTTTTAGTAATGCGCGGTTCGACAGATTCTTTCATATTTTCAACAGCTGTCGATGCTGGCTTGGTATTGTTATCAGGAATTATTGTTGCTGCTTGATAAAATAACGGCACAGAATTGTAAAAACCAAAATTATGCAAGGGCAGTTCTAAGCGAGCGTAGGGATTGTGAGGATAGTATGGGCTTTGTATCACATTTGATGATATCTGATATCTTGGAAACACTGGAAGGTGTAAGTTCAGTAAATTTTCTCCAAGTGCAGAATAAGGTACGTTCATAAGGGAGACTTGCTGAAAATTCGTCTGATGTTCAATAAGATTATCTGCTTCAGAATTTTTTGACGATTTCTTCTCTTCATTGAGAACTTTAATATTCGAGTCAAGATCTTGGTTTTTACTATTTTCTTCAGTTTTTATGGATTCAGATTGTTGTTCCGAAGATATTATATTCTCTTGATCTTTATCTCCTTGTGAATATCCTTTTGACATTTTCATTGAGTCCATTTCATTCTTCAATCTGCTCATAGAATCAGCACCAATTGTAAAAACAACATTACTTTCACCACCATTAAAGTCCTGAGTTGTATAGGAATATCCACTGAAAGCAGGATTAGGTTCGGACGTATATATCAACTTTGGCGTGATGGAAAACGCTAGCTGAATGCTCTGGTATGGAACAGAGTATGTTTTCCCTGATGTTATACTTAACAAAAGCTAAAAGAATAAAAAAATATTTTATTTATTTTAATGTCAACATTTTTTCGTAATAAATTACGCACATAAAAAGTGAGTTTCAAATTTATTAAAGATTTTAGAATAAAATTATTTAAATATTAAACATTCTAAGACACTATACAAATTTTTTTATATGAAAATGCGTACTTACAATAGCGGTGGTAAAAAATTGAAAAAGCACCATTGTCGAAGATTGACAAAGAGATGTGGAATCAATGAAATTAAAAAGTGAACTACCAAAGTACGTAATGATGTGATCTCTATATACGCGGCGTCCAATGTAGATTTAACGTCCCCACCACTCTCACGTGTTCACCTCTGCGTCTGATGACCTGATTCTGTAAAAATGTCCTGAGGGGATATGCGGGGTCTCTACCTCAATCGTCGTTGGATTCGTCGAAATTATGTAGTTCACGGTAGATCGAATTTCAGATAATTTTATCATATAATCTTGATGGATACGCATTGTGCGTTTTATTTGCAAGGATATATCGTCTAGTTAAAAAAAGTAAATTATTTCCTTTATAAATATGGATGCAATCTTGAAAAAATTGATCAATATGCTAAAATTATATATGAATATATTATACAATACATCCATTTCCTTACAAATAGTGACAAGCAATAATAGTTCTAAAATATCTTATAATTAATAATGTGTAGTAAAATTAAATTTGTTATACTTGTAATATTTAGTAATAATAGTAATAATATGGCTTTATTATTTACATTAATTATGTTTTGAATTAATGGGTGTAACCAAGATATAATGAATTATTCTGAAATGTTGTTTAAATGTGACCTAATAACAAATTAGGCAATCAGATTTTATCTCTTTATTAGGTATTTATGAGCGAATAATTTGTCACACAGCAGGTGTTAATATTCATGCATATATTAAAAAGATCATTGGTAGGAGGTTGAATCGAAGGACTCAGAAATGATTGTGCGTTCTTTTGGTATTCAGATTCAAGTAATGAATGTACCACACCTTCTAAGATAATATAAACAAGATATATAAGGCGGCCAAATGCGGATCACAAAGAATCGTTAATCAATGTCGACCTAATTATTGACTTCTATAATCGATAATCGCTGGAAGTATCTAAATCTGTTTAGAGATAATGGAATTTGTACGTTAATCTCTCAACACATGATAATCTTGATCTTTAAATTCATATTGTTTTCGTTGCGTTATTATGACACCCTGTATGGAGGTGTAGGCCCGAAATCCAGTTTCCGAATGACCTCTATACTTGTGCTTTATTTTGTAATCATACGCCCAGACGAAAAAAAACCGCCAGTTTTCGTAATCCAGGGCACGCATAAAGTTCCTCATATATATGGTTCACGGTAATTGAAAAGGATAATACGTATAGCGTGCGAACTAATAATAACCAATTGCATAATTGATACCATATATTCGTTGAATAAAGTGCATTTACATGTACAAAAGATAGTAGGAATTATATAATATTAAAGAAATGAGAAATTGCATCGAAAAAATTTAAATTCTAAAGTATAAAAATTAAATAAACATGTAATATATGTTTAACAGATTTTTATCTCCTATATGTAATTATATAAAATATCTATCATAATTTTCGTGTAAATACAAAAAAAATTGAATCAACAAAAATGTCATATCGTATATTATAAATATTTTGCATTCGTAAATAAATTACAGTTTGCATAATGGCGTTATCCAACTATGGGATTACCGTATGTGCGCCCTGCTCGACAAATTCGACGAACACGATGGGCCCGTTCGAGGCATATGTTTCCATAATCAGCAGCCATTGTTTGTTTCTGGCGGCGACGATTATAAGATTAAAGTTTGGAACTACAAACAACGGAGATGTATCTTCACCCTATTGGGTCACCTGGATTACATAAGGACCACAATGTTTCATCAAGAATATCCTTGGATCCTCAGTGCTTCAGATGATCAGACCATTCGAATCTGGAACTGGCAAAGCCGCACTTGCATTTGCGTACTGACTGGGCACAATCATTATGTAATGTGTGCCCAATTTCATCCTACGGAGGACATTATTGTGTCAGCTTCGCTAGATCAAACTGTCCGCGTTTGGGATATTTCCGGTTTGTGCAAAAATTGTTTCTCATGTATGATACTGAAAATATACAACTTATCAAAATAAAGATTTGATCTAAGGGTTTTTTGAAACTTAATTAAAAATCAGTAAATTTACATGTAATTTATATTTTTTATTATTTACATATTTGTCATTATTACAATTAGTTATAAAATCCAAAAGAAAATGTCATAACGTGACTACTGACAGAAACGGATAACTGTACCTCAATAACTAGGTGAATGCAATTGCAGGATTGCGCAAGAAGAACGTGGCGCCAGGCCCGGGAGGTCTCGAGGATCACCTAAAGAATCCGGGAGCTACCGATTTATTTGGTCAAGCTGATGCAGTAGTAAAATATGTTTTGGAGGGTCACGACAGAGGCGTAAATTGGGCATGCTTTCACGGAACGTTACCTCTTATTGTCTCCGGAGCCGATGATCGGCAGATCAAAATGTGGCGGATGAATGATGCCAAGGCTTGGGAAGTAGACACGTGTCGCGGTCATTACAACAACGTGTCCTGCGTGCTGTTTCATCCTAGACAGGATCTCATTCTCTCCAATTCGGAAGATAAAAGTATCAGAGTGTGGGACATGACAAAACGCACGTGTTTGCACACATTTAGGAGAGAACACGAGAGATTCTGGGTTCTTGCCGCTCATCCAACGCTCAATCTGTTTGCCGCCGGTCACGATTCTGGAATGATCATTTTCAAACTCGAGAGAGAACGTCCCGCTTATGCAGTTTACGGAAACGTTCTGTATTACGTTAAAGATCGTTTTCTTCGGAAGCTGGATTTTACTACGTCTAAGGATACATCGGTGATGCAGATACGTGGTGGAGGAAAAACACCACCCTACAGCATGTCGTACAATCAGGCAGAAAATAGCGTTTTAATATGCACTAGATCACCCTCGAATATTGAGAATAGTACCTATGACTTGTATATGATACCGCGCGAGGGAGATTCGAGCACAGATGCTGATACGAAACGGGCATCCGGTGTTACTGCCATTTGGGTTGCCAGAAATCGATTCGCGGTATTAGATAGGGCGTATTCGGTAAGTTAGCTTATTTTACACGATAGTTACTTAAATTTCAGAATGTTTAAAATTCAATAATTTGTTACTCGAATTTTATTTATACTAATTTATTCTAATTAGACAATTAATCAAGATTTTATATGCGCATTATCACATTTACGCTATCTTTTATTTCTGTAAATAATTTGTTATTTTATAATCTTTGTATTATATTTTTATAATTTACATATAGTTTAATAATAAAAGTATTTCTTTTTTCAGTTAGTTATTAAGAACCTGAAAAACGAAGTCACAAAAAAAGTGCAAATTCCAAATTGTGACGAAATATTTTACGCTGGCACTGGTATGTTACTTTTGCGCGATCCAGAACAAGTAACGCTGTTTGACGTACAACAGAAGAGAACTTTAGCAGAAGAAAAAATCGCAAAGTGTAGATACGTCGTATGGTCCAGCGACATGTCTCATGTCGCACTGCTGGCCAAACATACCGTCAATATTTGTAATCGTCGGTTAGAATCTCTCTGTTGCATACATGAAAATACCAGAGTAAAATCCGGCGCTTGGGATGATTCCGGCGTATTTATTTACACGACCAGCAATCACATTAAATACGCGATCAGTAACGGTGATTATGGCATCATTCGCACGCTAGATTTACCGATATACGTCACGAGAGTGAAAGGCAATCAAGTTTATTGCTTGGATCGAGAATGCAAGCCGAGGATTCTTCGAATAGATCCGACGGAATACAAATTCAAACTAGCGCTGATTAACAGGAAATACGAGGAAGTTTTACACATGGTTCGCACCGCGAATCTTGTTGGGCAATCGATTATAGCATACTTACAGCAGAAGGGATATCCAGAAGTGGCGCTTCACTTCGTGAAAGATGAAAAAACCAGATTTGGTCTTGCGCTGGAATGCGGAAACATCGAAGTCGCATTGGAAGCGGCGAGATCGCTCGATCAGAAATCATGCTGGGAGAGTTTAGCGCAAACCGCTTTGCTGCAAGGCAATCATCAAGTTGTGGAAATGTGTTATCAAAGGACCAAGAACTTCGAGAAGCTGGCTTTCCTCTATCTAATAACCGGCAACTTGGAGAAGCTACGTAAAATGATAAAAATCGCGGAAATTCGGAAAGACGTATCTGGACAATACCAAGGAAGCTTACTTCTTGGAGACATTTATGAACGAGCTAAGATTTTGCGGGTATATTATCTCTATTGATCAATAATTTTATATACGTTGAGAACACAAGTCCTCATTAGTTCTGATCATTGATTTATAATAAATATATATAAAAAATTTATTTTATAACTGCATAAAAATTTATATATAAATTTCTGTTTGTAGAATTCTGGACAAGCATCATTGGCATACGTTACCGAGAAAATCCATGGAATATCGAACGAAGACGACGACGGCGAGTATCAATCGATGAGCGAGGAACTTTCTGCATTGGAAAAAGGTGCCACGTATCTCCGTCCACCCGTACCTATTCAGCAAGCTGAGAACAACTGGCCGCTGCTGACCGTTTCTAAAGGCTTCTTCGAAGGCGCGATGATGTCTCGTAGCAGGACTCAAGTAGCCGCTGCTCTTGCTCTGGAAGACAACGGTGAAACGATACCTGAAGGATGGGGCAATGACGAGGAACTCGGCATAGACGACGAAGAAGGCGTGGACGCGGAAATTGCGCCAGAAGGCGAAGAGAATCCTGGATGGGATGTCGAGGACGTTGATCTTCCGCCGGAACTCGAAGCTGCAGCGACTTCCGACGAAACCAATAACTATGAATGTCTACCTACTAAAGGAGTTTCGCCACCACAGCATTGGGTTAATAATTCTAAATTGGTAGTCGATCATATATTGGCTGGATCGTTCGAGTCTGCTTTTAGATTGTTAAATAATCAGGTCGGAGTGGTGGAGTTTGGACCTTATCAATCTCTGTTCTTAAATACATACGCTCGCTCCAAAACATCCTACGCGTGTCTACCTAATATACCATCGTTATATGGATATCCACAAAGGAAGGATTCTAATTGGAAGGAGGCCGCATCAAAGACAGGTTTACCTGCGGTAGGACTGCACCTTGCCGAGTT